ATAGCACGAGTTGGGGAGGGGTAGAGAGAGAGGGAGAGGGAGACAGATAGAGAATCCCAAGCAGGCGCCATACTGTCAGTGTAGAGCCTGACACAGGGCTCAAGCTCATGAAACCCTCAAACCATGACCTGAGCTGAAATCAAGAGTTGGTTGCTCAACTGACTGAGTCACCCAGGTGCTGCTTACTTGACCTATTTTAAATTGTATCCCCTATATTCTGGTACCTTACCCTCTTCTGAAATTTGTGTTTCTCCATGGCATCTTTTACCATCTAACATTTGGTGTATTTTATTTTCAATTTCTTGTCTGTTTTCCTCCAAAAGAGTGTAAGCTCCATAAAAGCACTTTAAAAAGTCTATTTTCTTCACTACCGTATCCCTAATGCCTAGAACCATACCCAGTATTAGGTGCCCAATAGATATTTGTTGAATGAATGAATGAGGACATAATGCATGTTTGAGGAAGTCTCAAGAAGGGCCTCCTGGCACAGTTCCTAAAAGCCAGTTGCCTGAAGAATCATTTGCAAGGACAGCACTCTGAATTGCAGAGCTGAGGCCCCTGCTGGGGTGGTCAAGGAAGGGGAGGAGGAAGTGGCCCTGGCTGAGGGAGAGAGGACCCTGGCTACCAGGAATTGTCTGCAGGACTCAGATTTCCGAGGATGAGTCAGGAATCCCCACCCCCTTGTCTCTTTCCCCTCCCTTTGCCATACTTGCTTTCCACATGTGGCCAAGCACCGTCTCAGGGGAAGCCCACCAGCTTCAGTTGTGTCCATATTTCAGCGGTGCCCAGATTTTAAATTCCAGCCCTCTGACTCTCCACGCCAGCTGAGGCCCTGAAACAAGCTCTTTGCTGCCTCCTTGTGGCTCCTGCAGCAAAGGAACTCTCTTCTGGAAAGTGAGGCCACAGAAACCAAAACAGGGACTCTCTGAACATGGGTTGTGGGGGAGGAAACCTGAATCTTCTTGACCCCGTGACGACTCTGAATTATGGCAGAGTCTGCTTCCCACAGACTTTGCCACCAATGGCAATGACCATCCATTCAGCAGAGTCCTGACGGGTGTCCCAACTGGACTCAGGCTTTGGTTGTTCCAGGTTGGTCATGTCTGGGTAAAGGCTTTGGAGTAACATTTGGATCCCAGGGCCTACCTGGATGGGCCTCGAGGCCAGTCAACTAGTATGTCTAGCCTCTACCTACTCTGCCTCCTTCCAACTCACAGCCAATAAATAGTATTTGAAGGGTGATGTGGCCACAGCCAGCTCAGGGTGGGATGTGTGTAGAGAGAGGAGGGCCTTGGTGTGGCATTGGGTGGTGGTGGGGGGGGGGGGAATACAGGTGGTGGACTGGAGAGCGAGTGCCCTGCAGGATGCTGCTCAACTGGGCCACTGCTCGGTTGCAGCCCACTTGTTTTTGCAGTAACAGAAATCTGCCCAAGCTCATATCAGTCTCCCAGTTGAGGGAACATCCTGGAATGCTACCAGGTTGTCTTGTGGACCTATCAGGCGGGGATAGACCTGGGCCTCAGGAACGATCTGGTTGAGTTTCTTAAGTTTACTTGTTTTGAGAGAGAGAGAGACAGAGAGAGAGCGAGAACATGGGAGGGGAAGAGAGAGAGGGAGAGAGAATTCCAAGCAGGCTCTACACTGTCAGTGGAGAGCCTGATTCAGGGCTCAAATCTATGAATTGCGAGACCATGACCTGAGCCAAAACCAAGAGTCAGATGCCTAACTGAATGGGCCACCCAAGCACCCTGCTGAGTTTCTAAGAAGACTGTCTTCTTGCTTCTCTATGTAATTTTTTCTTCTTTCCAGCTACTTTCAGAATGTTCTCTTATCTTTGGTTTCAACAGTTGGACTATGATATGCTTAGGTATGTTTTTCTTCTTATTTATCCCGTTTGGGGTTCTCTGAGCTTCTTGGATCTGTGGTGTGTTGTTTTTTGTGAATTTGGGAGATTCTGAGTGATTATCTTTTCAAATATTTCTTCTGCCCCATTCTGTCTCCCCTCTTCTTCTAAGGCTTCCATTACATGCATGTTAGATCATTTGTTATTGTCCCATATGTCCTGGTGCTTAGTTTCGGGTTTGCATAACTGTTTGCTTTTACTTTTTGTGATACAGGTTGGTTCATTTTTATTGATCTAGCTCCAAGTTCACAGATTATTTTCCTTCTGCTTTTGTCCAGTTTATTGATAAATAACCTGTTGAAGGAATTCCTCATCTCTGATATTAAGGTTTTCACTCCTAGCATTTTCATTTTTTCATTTCATTTTTACAATTTCCTCTTCTTTGCTCAAATTCCAACTGTTACGTGTTGTCCACCTTTTCCAGTAGACTAGATTCTTTATAGTAAATATAACTATTTCAAAGTCCTCAGTTCAGTTAATAGTTACATGTCAGCCATGCTCTTTTGTATGTATGTATGTATGTATGTATATATGTATTTGGGGAGTCATGCTCATCCTTTTTCTGACTTTCCAAGTTGGCCTCCCCTGTACATGGAAGACAAGCCCCTATGTGGCTTTCCCTTCCCTAGCTCTTTGGCTGGGATGTCTTCAAAAGGTTTTTGTCCTTTTCACTTTAGCCACACCTCCCTGAAGGTCACACTTAGGGCTTAATGTAGACCCTCTCCTAATGTCCCCTTCTCCACATCAGTGTTGCTTCATCATCTTGGAGGTCCTTGAGGTTATGGGCCATGCAAGCAGAGCTATGGTCCATCCTAAATCTGACTCGAAGAAATATGCCAAGAAGTATTCCTTCCCATGCCTGGCTTCTTGGGAGATTTTTATGGGGTGGAGGCAATATCTTATTTGACTAAGTACACCAACTTTGCTCAGAAAAAAAAAAGAGGCTAGTATCAAAAAACTCATCCCTAGAAAACTACCATATATAGTGTTTTAAATAATTTGAAAGGATTTATGTAACTCTGCTTTGGAAATAACTGGCCATGAGGTTTCTTTTTTTTTGTTTTTTTTGTTTTTTTTAATGTCTCTTTGAGTATGACTTCCCAACAATCATCATGCATAGGAGGCACTTGGGTGGCTCAGTCAGTTGTGCCCGACTCTTGATTTCAGCTCAGGTCATGATCTCATGGTTTGTGATATCATATATCATAATAAAGACACATAGATAGAAATATACCTCCTTGGTGTCCAAAACTCTTGGCTTCACAGGCTGGAATAATCCAGGCCCTCTTTGTCCTCAAGGGGATGAAACCATTGACAAAGCAGAAGAAACAGTCAGACACTTTGCTTGCTTGCCAGAGAGCTTGCTAGATGATGTCCAGAAAGTCAACATCCTTCATCACCAGAGCAGGTATAGCCACTAGGCCTCTTAAGCATAGTGCCAAGAGCCTATGAAAATGTATAAAACCTTTAAAACATCATTGCCATCAAAACAGAAAAATGTAAAAAAATTAGGGGTGCCTGCTCAGTCAGTTAAGCGTTCAACTTCGGCTCAGGTCATGATCTCACGGTTCATGGGTTCGAGCCCTGCGTTGGGCTCTGTGCTGACAGCTAGCTCAGAGCCTAGAGCCTGCTTCAGATTCTGTGTCTCCCTCTTTCTCTGACCCTCCCCTGCTCACACTGTCTCTTTCTCTCAGAAATAAATAAAACATAAAAAAAAAAGAAAAATGTAAGAAAATTGTATGTAGTTGTTTACAAAATGTAAAATTGTCAGTTTCATTACACTGTCAAATTTAATATTAAAATATTTTCATTACATTTATAAAACTGTTAGATTTTATCTCTATGCATGATGATGTTTTATAAATGTTTATTTATTTACTTTGAGAGAGAGAGAATCCCAAGCAGGCCCCGCTTTGTCAGCATTCAGCCCAACGCAGGACTCGATCTCACAAACCGTGAGATCAAGAGCTGAAATCAAGAGTTGGACACTTAACTGACTGAGCCACCCAGGCACCCCCTACGCATGATGACTGTTGAGAAGTCATAGTCAAAGACACGTTAAAAAAAAAAACTCATGGCCAGTTATTTCTGAAGCAGAGTTACATAAATCCTTTCAGATTATTTAAAGCATTAAATTTAGTGTGAGGGCATTTTAACATGTGGGATACAATTGGGGTGAGGCCTCCAAAGAAAGAATAAGCTTGAGACCTGAAAGGCCAGGAGTGGCTCTCGGCTGCCACAGTTGTCCTGTGTAAGACCTACAGCAGGAATGCCTTTCCCCTTTCTCGCCAACGAGGCATCCTTGCCATATGTTAAGCCATAGTAGCTCAGAAGTCATTTCTACTCTCACATCATCCAAAGGCCAGCTTTTCATATCCCACATCTTCCTCTTCTTTCCAGTCTTCACCTTGGATGGAAGCAAGGATGAGCACTGTTCCTGATAAACAGAATCACTCGGTTGCAGGTATTCTGAGGACAGGGTCATTTCCTAGCCAATGTCCCTAGGCTAGGTGCGGCTGGACCCTTGGAGAAAACAGGGAGAGTGAAGGTCAAGTGGGAGATGAGGCAGATGGCTGTGTGCTAGGGGAGAGTGGGGTGCACTGTGGTGCTCGTTAGCTGAATGAACTCACAAAAGCAGTGTTGTAATTGAATTGAAGATGGCTGCCAGAGATGGCCTCCTCAGCCCACACCATCTAGGTGTGGGACCTCTGTGGCTTCATTTTTTCCACCTTTGTCCTCACTCCTCAGAGACTTATCTGCCTTGGCCTCCCACCCAGCGACACCGGGCTCTGACTGGTACTTGAGATCTCCTTTTGTTCTTATTTTCTGAACTTTCCTGCTAATCCTGCTTTCCTGCTAATCATTGGCACATCAGTTACTTATTTGTCCATGTCTCTGATGAATTGAAAAGTTACTGGTGCATACTGTATGCCAGGCACTAATTGTGGCCACTCAGCTTGCTGGCTCCCAAAGGCCAGCAGAGATGACACTTGGGGAAACCTCCCTGGTTGGCATCAAGGTCAAGGGCCAGATGGTCATAGACCTGGTTCCAAAAATGAGTTCAGGATATGTGGGTTTCAGCAACAATACAAAAAGCTTTAAAAAGAAACACACCTCTATTTTATTAAAAATGTACAGTTTGGGAACTGAAGGAGGGAAGTGGTGTTTCTCAAAGTTCTAAGACTATTTAGCAATGCCCAGGATGCTGATTTAAAAACACCAGCTGGGAACCTGCATTTGAGACAAGTTACCATATGATTTTCAGTCACTCTGAAGTTTGAGAATCACTAAGGGATGGAGTGGGGACTGAGATTGTCTCGATCCTTCTGGCTTTTAGGATTCCAGGGGAGGACTCATTTGACTTTTTACAAACCAGCTCAGCTGATGCATCTGGGGCTTCCTGGGATTCGTTTCTTTCGGTCGCCAAGACACTGAAAGAGTTAATTCAATTATGGGTTGGAGAGCAGCTAGGACAAGGCCCCAGGATGTGGGTGCCCACCCGGCCCACCCTAGAGCTTCCCTAGTCGGCTCTGGAAGACCTGGATATGGAACTGCGTAACCTTCCTGCCACATCCTAGGGCCTCTGCTTCTCCTCTTGTGACCTGCCTCTTATCTCACATCGTAGAAAACTTCCTCTTCTCTCTCATTCTTCCCTGCTCCTTCCTATCCATGTCCCCTCCTCTCTACTCCCGTCTAATCTCCCTCCCAGTAACCAAGTTATAAGCCCTCTCCTCTGTCTGAAGCACGTTGGAGATGTGTGCTAGTCTGTGCTCGCTGCCCCTTGGCCATGCGTGTGAACCACCGTGTATGTTAGCTGTGCAGGAATAGGCCATAAGCAACCGAGGGCAGGGCAGTTAGAGTCAGGGTTCAGATCCTTCTCCAACTGCAGACAGTGTTTGATATATGCAGGCATACAGCTGTCTTACCTATCAGACAGACCCCAGGAGAGACGCTTATAAGACAAAGCAGAGAAAGCTCTTGGAGAAGGGGGTCCGCTGGCTTTTGAGGGACAAGGCCTCTCTAGTGTCCCAAACCATAGAGAGAAGATGAATAGGCCTTCCCCACATTCTGAGAGGCCACCCTGGAGGCCTGTGGGTGAGACAGGCTGTCCATTCCAGGCAGGAGAATGGGCAGGGAGTGGATAGTTGGTCCTAGTTATGAAACCAGATGTGGCATGACCTGGGCCAGGGTTGCTGGTGAGATTGGCAGGATCACAAGGATCACAAAGAAGTGAATGACCTGGAAGTACACAGCAGGTGGATGTGAGCATCTGTGGTGAGTCAGGGGCAGGCGGTCAAAGAGAAGGTACACTCTGGGAGTGGAAGCAGAGTGTGTCTCCAGAGGCCACACGCACAGAACACTCACAAAGAAAGCAGCATGGCCGCCATCCCCACCATCCCCAAGGCAGCAGGGGCCCGAGCAGTGGCAGAGAACTTTCATTAGAGAGTGGCAGATTCCCACATTTATGATAACGGAAGCCCCCACAGCGAACTGTCCAGGACCAGCCTGACATGCAGGTAGGCGGTGCCAACCTGAGATGAGGATCAAAAAGACAGAAGAAGCACAGCTTTGCCTCTACACCTGATCATGTGATACACTGAATGAACTTGTATGGAGTTAAAAAAAAAAAAAGGGCGGGGAGGGGGGGAATTGTATTCACCTAAATTCCCCTGGAGAGGGGAAGCTGTCTTTGCTGGGAATAATATTTTGATAAGTGCTTAAGCCTGAAGCTGAGATCCCAGTGGAGGCCTGGGTGTGGGTGGAACAGCTCTGCATGAGACAGGAAAGAGTTTTTGAGTTTTGCATGTTATGCCAGAGAAAGAGGGGAAGAAAGGCTGTTGTTTGGTGCTGTTCATTCTGAATCCCTTTTCCCCAACATCCCCCTAAATTTTCAAAAAGTTACTATAACATGAAAGACTTGGGGTCGAATGGAGTGTGTATTCTTGATATTTATGTACACATATTATGTGCATGGGAAGAACAAAGGGGTTGGAGCCTCAGCTTCAAACAGATGCCAAGCAAAGCCTAGGCCCTGGCAGGATGCAAAGAGAGAAGGAGCTTGGGGATGAGAGACTCTACTATAGGGGACCTTGGGCAAGTTTAGCCAAATCTTAGCAGGGCGAGGCCCCAGCTGACCTCTGGGTTACTGAGTTCTGCCACAGTGTTGTTTTGGTTACTCTCAATCAATTTTGTTTGCTTTATTCAACTCAACACCACACACATACACACATACACACCTCTTAGCAATTCTCCAGGAACTGAAACCAGGTATCTCCATACTAGCTGGGACCCTCAGGCCCACTTCAGAGCAGAAGTAGAGCCAAGGACCAGCCTTCTTTGGTGCTACCATGTCACCATGTCTCACCTAGGTTGCAGCACCAGCATCTTACAGCCTTGGTTCTGGTTAGATCTAGATGGGCAGGTAACAGTGCCCTCTCCCTATCAAAGATCTTTAACTGGGGCAGGGCCAGGGCCATAAGAGGCAGCTGGAATTGCTGAAAAAATCTAAAAAGGCTCCTTGAAAGAGACTTAAGTCTTCAACAGTGATATCTTCAAGCCAGAAGAGGCAAAGGAGAGTTGAACCTTCTTAACTAGAAAAGCCTCTTGTTGACCCACTGAGTCCTGCCTCTTCCTCTCAGCTGCTCTTCCTGTGAACTATTCTCCAAGGCAGTAAAGAAATGGGAATGCCAAAGACAGGCCCAGGCCTGAGTCTCAGGTTCGTCACATGATTCTTGGTCTCCATCTCTCCATTCCTATACCTGGCTCTCTGAGGAAAAACCCCCAGGCCTACCGCAAGATTCACCTCCTGAGCAACTCACGCGCAGCTCAAGAAACAACTTGAAGTTGGGAAGTCAAGACTTGTGTAGTGGTCTTCTGAGACACTAATAAAGTTCTCTGAAACAGAATGGTGGCATGGGGACCCAAGCTGATGGCTGATGAGGCAGGTAAGCCTCTCTCTGTCTGAGGTAGTATAATAAATGAGGTTGTTATGAATGTCTGGAAAGAGATCTCTTGGGTGGTTGGACAGAGTCAGTGTGTACTCTGGCCCCTGACCTTGATGGGAAGGTTTCCCCAAATCCAGATTAACCATCCAACCTTGCACCTTACCGGGCTTTGAGAGACCTCAAGCTTTTGTGGTAGGAAGAATGCACATCCAAGGTCAATAGCCGGGGAATGTCTGGGTACCCCCCTAGCTGGTCCCAGGACAGGCAGGGGGGAGTCTTCTTTTCTATTGGGTGACTGGAGGAGGCCACATCAGTCTTCCACATGGCTTCTATCTGGTTATCCTGTTGGCTGGGAGGTAGAGGTTGAAAGTGTAGAAAGAGACAAAGAGTTAGACATACAGAGGGAAATCAAAAAACAAGCTCTCCAAGGCCATAAGGCCCAAGATGTCAGGCCTTGTTTTCTTTCCCTCCCAAATAGTTGTCACCACCATCCTGTCACCTCTATTCTGCTTAACTCTAAGCCTCACCTCCCTGGGGCTCCTCTGGCTGAGGAGCTGCTGAAGGGGCTCTGGGATAGCCTCTGTCCTTCTAGGCACATGTCCCGGGCTGTGCTGCACTGGGCCATACTAGGTGAGAATGTGGGTCTTCTTGACTGCCCAGAGGCTCATGGTATCTCTTTCTGAGCCTGGGGATGGGGGCGTATGGTGGGGAGGATCAGGCTTGTTTATATGGACAGACCAATGGCAGGTGCTGGACCAACAATGCTCAGGGAAGAAATGGTTGTAGATTCTCAGATGTGGGTCCTCAGAGTCTTTCAGTTACAATTTGAAACCAATTTGGATCAGGATGGCTCCTGAGCCCACCCATCTGGGCCAATGGCCAGAGCTGAGCAGGGCGGAGAAGACAGGCATCTAACAACTCATGAAGTGAGCTCTGCCTGTCTGTGCCTTCACCAAGCTCCCAGTCTCCCCAGTCTGGCCACCCCAGCTTGGTCCATCTCCCCACCTGTCCAGCTGGCTGCCTACCAGCTTCCCTGCACCTACCGGGCCATGCGCAGGGGCTCACATTCCCAGTGTTTGCATGTAAAGTGCCCAGGAGGCTGCCTGCTGGAGGGGCCGTAAGAGTGCATGCGCCGGAGAAAGGATGTGGGTGGCTTGTTTTTCCTTGGCTTTGTGGAGGTGACCACAGGGGTGTGCAGATGAACGTTCCATTCCAACTGGAGCTAGGGGAACCAGCAGAGAGGCATCAAGGAGACAGGAATTTATCCCTTGTCTAGAGCAGAAGGAGGCATAGCCCTATTCAGGGCTAAGAAGAGAATGTAAGGTCCAGGGAATCCCTCCAATCAGAGAGCCCTGGGACCACCCAAGTGTCAAATTTCCTAAAAATTTCTTGAATTATTATTTGCTAGGTTAGTTCCTGTTTTCTTCTTTGTTCTGGAGAATCTGGACAATGAGCAAAACAGCAAGAAAAAATCTAAAGGAAGCCAGAGAAGCTGGACCTGGCGAGAGAACTCAGGGTTCACAACATGAGGCCAAGTTGTGCCTAGAATGCTCTGGGTATTTTTGCATCCAGTCTCTGCCCTGGCACTGGATAAGGAGCTGGGGAAACCCTTCTAACCACCCAAATAACTGACATATAGTCCCTTGTTAACAAGATACCTACAATTTAACAAGTCAAGATACCTACAGGAGATGACTGAGACTAGTATAAAGTGATAGGAAACGGAGTTGGGAGATGGTCCCATGGCCAAGGCTCCTCCAATTGCCTGACACAGGTGCCTATACTAAGTTCCTCAGCATACAGCTTCCCCCATAGTCAGCGGGGATTCCTCGTGGGTTCTGAGCCAATGCTGTGATTTTCTAATTTCCCTGGGAGATCAGCTAGCCCATGTCAACACTTGCTACTTCTCTGACCCTGCTAGCAGGGGAAACTGAATCTAGCCTTCAGAGAGTAAAAACAATACACATCCACAGATCAGGCCTCGGAGTGACTTTGTACTGTCAATAGCAACACCAAAACCTAGAAGGCAATGAGAAGTACTGCCAAAATTGAGAGGGAAAATGCATTCTAACCTAGACTTCCATATCCAGGCCAACTGTCAATTAAGAGTGAAGGTACTAGGGGTGCCTGGGTGGCTCAGTCGGTTAAGCAGCTGACTTCAGCTCAGGTCATGATCCCGTGGTTTGTGGGTTCGAGCCCCACGTCCAGCTCTGTGCTGACAGCCCAGAGCCTGGAGCCTGCTTCAGATTCTGTGTCTCCATCTCTTTCTGACCCCTCCCCACTCATTCTCTCTCTCTCTCCCCCTCTCCCTCTCTCTCAAAAATAAAAAAATAAACATTAAAAAAAAAAAAGTGAAGGTACTACATAAAGACGGTTTCAGACAACCAGGGTCTCACTGATTTTACCTGGCAGGAACCTTGGTCAGGAAGTGACTGGAGGAGACCTGGCATCTAGAAAGCAAGGGAACCGTCGACAGAGAGAGACAAAATGAGGCCCCAGCATGTGGGTAAAAAGGACAGCTGTGACCAAGTCAGTGGAAGAACCAGAACACACAGGAACAGGGCAGAGGGTTCCATGGGGGAGGGAGGACTTGAGCATAAAGTTGGGACTACAGGGTCCAGCTGCCTCCTCTCTCCAGAAGAGTCTTTGTTCTATGGCTCTTTTTGAGAGTCCCTCTCTCTCCTACTTTCCTCATATACAGAAATCAGAAAGCTGCCCTTCCTTACACTTAGGACCTGCAGGCTTTGCCTCTTCCTGGCTCAGAGTCTCTAATCTGCTCTCTTATTTCCCGTCCGCAACCCTGCCCCATTCATGCCCCACCGGCTCACATCCCTTCCGGCTGGGCTGACCCCTGATGAGGGAGGCCCACCTTGGGGAACATGGTCACCATGCTGCTCAGGCACGCTCGGCGCTTCTCCCCAAGGTCCTTCTGCTTGTCCGTCCAGGCCTGCAGCCAGAGGCTCTGCATGTGGTCAATGTTTTCCAGGTAGATGTGCAGGTTCTGGGTCCCAGTTTCTCGCATGACTTGTAAGTGGTTGATCACTTCCTGTCTGGGAAATGAGGGAAGGGAGTTAGTGGGTAAAAGGGTCTGCTCCCCAAGTCCCTTAACCAGCCATTACCCTGTGTTTGTGATTCCTGACAGCAAGGAGGGAAATGGAGATTGCTGAGAGTCAGGAAAGCAGGGAGCAGAGAGGGGGGAGGTGGTGTCAGGTGAGGAGCTTTGGGGCCCAGCTGGAAACAGAAAGAAAGAATAAGGTCAGCAGGGGAACATATCAGGTGAATTAGGGACAGGGCGATAGGAAGAAATAAGGAAGTGGTCTTAGAGGAAAAACCCACTACGGAAAAAGCAATGTGTATGTGTAAGTGCCCGACCTCCCACACCTCCAGGGTCACCCAAGTCTCCAAGGTCAGACATCCTTTGCCAGCCCCTCCCTCAGGGGACCGTGTCCAGGTCTGGGGTGACTCTCTCCACCCCCATTTGCTGTGCGCTCCTCCACTCCCTTTGGGTTGTCTCTGCCCACACACTGCAGTTGGCGTGGGTGTCAGGGAGAACCTACCGGAGGCTTTGGAAGCGTCTGTAGAGGATGTATTTATGGCACAGACACTGCAGCCGAAGCACGTTCAGCTCCATGGTGGTGGTGATGAGCTCCAGCGCCTTGGTGCGTAGGTAGTGGGGCAGCCGCAGGTCAGCCTCCTCGCTCAGGAGCTGCAGATTCTTCCTCTGCGCCTCCACGTCCATGTGGTATATTTTCCCCTTGAGAGTCACTGAGGAGATAGACAAAGGAGGCCGGGACACCTTTTGGATGGATGTCCACGTGACAGGAAAAGAAGCAGATTTCTTGGGCTTCATGGGACTCTGGCAGGTCCGTAGTTTCTGGGTAGATTTGGCTGAACTCGTGTTCCTCTGGTTTCTGGAGGCAGGCTGCTGGGGATGAGGGGACTTGGGAAAGTGTGGCCTCCTGCCTTGGTGAGCAGACTGGGCCCGGCTTGGGGGAGGCACCAGCGATGCCTTCTCCAAGTCCCTCCACTGCCTGGTGGTTACGAAGAGCATCCTATCGGTACCCTCTCCTGGTGGCTCTGGCTCCCTGCGTGGGCCTGCTTTCTCCTTTCCCTGCTGGCCCGACCGCCGCCGCTGCTCCCTCGCTGCCTCCTCCACCGCCCACTGCTGCAGCTTCTCCTGGTGCTCCTGCTCTAGCAGAGCCCACTGCTTCTGCCGCTGCAGCCACATGTCCTGTTCCTCCAGCCACTGCAGCCTCTCCCTCTCCCAGCTGATCTCCTCTTCCCAGTGCTCTGCCTTGCTCTCCAAGGCCACCTTCCTGGAGCTCTCTGGGGATAGCTGCATCCTCATATGGGACTTAATTTGGAGTCCTTCCTTCTCCTGGGCTGCTTCCTGGACATCCTTTTGGTCTCTGACTTGGTGGACTGGGCTTTCTGCCACTGGTCTTTCCCATTTCTTAGGAGACTTGTGATCCACCGAGGACAGCAACATGGGCTGAAGATGTTCAGTGTCCTTGGTGCTGTACACATCTGCAATCCTCGAATGCATGGTCATGGTGGAAAGTGGCTGAGATGCTGAAAGCCTGACATCACTGTCCCAGGCTATGGCCATGGGACCTGAGGAGAGTGGTGAAAACAACTGCTCCTTCTTGGGTTCCTGTTGGGTTTCCTTGATAACTGTTTCTTTCTTTGAGAGGGTGTCTTTCTCGGGGGGCCCCAGGGAGTCAGTCAAGATCTTGGTCGGTTCTTCTGTTGGATCTCTAGCAGATTGAGCTTTCCTTAGCTGGAACTCTAAGGCATGCTTTATCAGGAGAAGGTCATGGTATTTTCCTCCTAGAATTTCTACTTGGTTTAGTAGGGCATCCCTCTTGCTCCGGAGAACTTGGAGGGAATTCTGGAAGTATAGTCTCTGGCTGCTGAGTTCTTTGGTCATCTCTATTTTCAGGTTCCTGTATTTGGTCTCCAGGCTTCTGTTCTCCTTGTGCTGGAGGGTCAAGGCCTTGTTGAGGTTCTCTACCATGGCAGACATATACCTGATGGCACTGACTTCCCCCTGATTGAACATGGTGGAGTCCAGGAGCTCCTGCAGCATGGACTTCACCTCAGAGACCTTCGTGCAGGTAGCATGATTGTCTTGGAGCATCTGTTCTGGGCTCAGTGGCTGAGGATAGGATGCAGATTTTGGGGGTCTCTGTTCCCACCAGCCCTGCCAGAAGGTATGTTTGGATACTAGAAGAGAGAAAGAACAAAGGCAACAAGCTCTCATAAGCCCCAAGGGTTATACTGATTCTGTACACCCTGCCTGGCCAGATTCTCATCCAACTATCTTATGCCTTTGGCAAGGATAAGGAGCTGAGGCAATAGGTGAGGCCAGGGGAGATGTGGTCAGGAGAGATCTCTGCAAGTCTCAGATCTTGCCCAGAGTTTACCTGTCAGGGCCAGCCAGCTCCATAGCATCTGCAGGCCCCTGGGGCCTGAAACTATTCAATTCAGTTCAATTCAATTCAGTGTACTTCTGATCTCATGTATTTCCCTGGAGTAAGTCTCTTTTCTAATCATGCTACTTCCTGGACTCAATATCCATGTTTGGCTACTATCCTATTGTCAACTATCCAAGCTCTGGAAACCTACCTGGCACTCAGACTCCAGGTCACCTGAGCAGCTTTGTTTCCCTTTCCTGTTACCACTGGACTCTGTAGAGAATTTATCACATGGTTCTGCAACTGTTCACATGTTGGGTTTTTAATGACTAATGTTATTTCCAATTTTGGGGGTCATGAACTCCTTCGGTACTTTGATGACAGCAGGGGACCTTCTCCCCAGGAAGATACACATAAACACAGACTTGTGCACTGCGTTCAAACCTGGCCATAGACCTCAGCTCCTCAGGGCTGGATCATGGTTACAGTTGTATCCCCTTGATCTACCATATGTAGGGCTGCTGGAGCGATTATCTTGGACCATCCATTCATTTGTCCATTCAATGAACATCACTAACAGAGAAAACACTGGCTAACTTTGGATGAGGAGCTAAAGGGATATGGAAATTGAATGGCATTGAAGTCAAGCTAGCATTTAGCTAATATTGTCAGAGAGGCCATATGGTTCAGAGCCTGAATTCTGGAATCAGGTAACTTGGACCTGAGTCCTATCCTTACCACTTGCTTTAGACAAGTTTCCTAACTTCTCAGTGGAAACTTCTCTGTTTCTAAAAAATGGGGATAACCAACAAAAGCATCTACTCATAGAATTTCACTAGATTATGCATGTTTAGTGGCAAGCACAGTCCCAGGTGCTTAAATACCTAAAAAGAAATGAAAAAAAATACAGCCTTTGCCCTCCAGGAGTTTATAATCTAGCAGGAAAATATATACAAATAATTATATTTCAAGATATAACATGGTAAGGATTGAAGGGGAAATTATCTCCTTATCCACCTTTCCCTGCTTCCTCCCTCCCTCAACTATCAACCATGAGAATCAATGGTAAAATACTAATGTGCCCTATTGTTTATTAAGCCCTGAGTATGTTCTAAGCATGGTGCCAGGTGCCTTACACCCAGTGGAACCCTGCAAGTGGGCGGGTGCTCCTCATTTTGTGTATGAGGAAAGTGAGGTTCAGAAAGATCAAGTAACTTGTCCAAAGTCACACAGTCAGAAATCGGCACATGGGATTTAACCTCAGGTTATTCTGACTGTGAAGCCCATGCTCTTGAGTAAGAGTAAGGAGCCAGAAAACCTAAGCATGGGGTTTTGCTACAGTTTTTTTGCTTTGTTGTGTGTGTGTGTGTGTTTCTCGTCTCTGAGATTTAATGTTTCCATCTACAAAATGTAGGAGGAGTTGGATAATCTCAGGTTACTTCTACTGCTGATAGGAATAAAATTTCAAGGTTGGGCTATGTTGTTGACTGACCATTTCTGGAGCAGCCACAATTGAGAAGGTTCTGGAAGGGCCTCTGGCTAAGTCTCGCCAGACTTCTTGGCTCTACAGCTGGATTTGGAGTAAGGAAAGGATGTTCTTTGGGCTCTAGCTACAAACTCCAGCCTTTTTGGCCTACTAGTTTTGATCCCCAGGACCTGCATGAGGCTGCAGCTCCGGGAAGAACCAACATGGACCTGTCTCCACATTACCCCTTCCTCCAGCCCTGAGGGACTGCTCAGAACTGTTCAGTGTTTGGCTTGGGTTCAACACCCCAACCCCTCACTACTGCCTCTCCATTTCAGATAAGCTTTTGTTATGAAGGAGAGTTAGAAAGACCCCGCAGGTGCCCATATGTGACCTTTTTCCCTGAGATGGCATCCACCCCACCCAACCTCCCTCCCAGGTGCTCCTGGAACCTACTTTGTGTCCTTTTCTTTTGTCCTTCAATGAGAGCAGAACAAAGGGAAATGACAGACTCGATGCCTCCTTTGGTGGCAATGAGAGAGAGAGGTAATACCTTCTCCATCACCTCGATCCATTCATCCAGGGCTTCCTCTTCCTCCTTACTCTTCCTGTTCCTGAGCTCATAGGTCAGACTGTCACCTAGAGAGGGAGTGGGAGATGCAGGCTGAGGGCAATCTGTCCTCTAGAGGGTGCCAAGGAGTCCTATAGCACAGGGGTTACAGCAGGAATCTTTGAGGTTGGATTAGTTTCACCTCTTAATTGCTGTGTGATGTTGGGTAAGTCACTTATTTCTCTGAGCCTCAGCATCAGTGCCTGTAAAAGGGTTAGGTGGGGATTAAATGAGATAATGCATGTGAAATGATTAACATGAGGCCTGCTGTGTAGAAAATATGCAGTAGACATTAAACAGTATTGTCGTTTAACTATAAGACTAGGGATGTATCTGCCTTGTTTTGCTCTATCCCCACTGCCTAGTTTAGTATCTGGACAAGTAAATTAATGAACTGGAGTGAAAAGCCCTGCTTAGTTCTTGGGGACAGCTGAAGTACCATAGAACTAGGAGCTCCTTGGAGGCAGGGCAGGGTGAAGGTGGTGGGGCACATCCCTATACCATCTCACTCTAACACTGCAGCATCCACCCAACTGTGTCACAGCAGCCTAAGGTCTCGTGGTGGCATAACTCTGATGTTAATGGGGGCAGCACCTGGTCCATGGCTGCATATAGTGGGTCCACACTCAAATGGCTATACCAGTTGTTTACAGCTGGTGCTAGTGCTGTTTGGCCCAGTGTCCATGCAGTAAGGGTCATTAAGTACTCTGAATATCACCTATGGGTTCTTCTATAGAACACCTGGTATGCTCCACCAAAAAACTGTTAGAGTTAATAGACAAATTCAGCAAAGTTGCAGGATATAAATCAACATACAAAAATCAGCTGCATTTCTATAAACTAACAATAAACTGTCTGAAAAAGAAAGAAAACAATTCCATTTACAACAGCATCAAAAACAATAATATACTTAGCAATACATTTAACCAGGGAGGTGAAGGATCTCTATACTGAAGCTATAAGACATTGATGGAAAAAATAGAAGAAGACACATATAAATGGAAAGATATTCCATGTTCATGGACTGGAAGAATAAATATTGTTTTAAAATGTCCTTACTATCATTTAGAGCCATGTATAGATTCAATGAAGTCTCTATCAAGATCCCACTGGCATTTTTCACAGAAACAGAAAAAATAATACTAAAATTCATATAGAACCACAAAAGGCCCCAAATAGCCAAAGCAATCTTGAGATAAAGAACGAAGCTGGAGGCATCACACTACCTGATTTCAAACTATATTACAAAGCTATAGCAATCAAAATAACACGGTATTGGCATAAAGACAGAGCCCAGAAATAAACCTATGTATATAGGGACAACTAATATTTGACAAGGGAGCCAAGAATACATGGTGGGTAAAGGATAGCTCTTCAGACTGATGTTGGTGAACCTGGGCATTCACGTGCAAAATAATGAAATACCACTCACACCACTCACAAAAATTACCTCAAAATGGATTAAAGACTTAAATGTAAGACCTGAAACCATAAAACTCTTAGAAAAACATATAGGGAGAAAGCTTCTTGACATTGGTCTTGGCAATGATTTTGTGGATATGACACCAAAAGCAATGGTAACAGAAGCAAACATGAACCAATGGTACTACATCGAACTAAAAAGTTTATGCACAGTAAAAGAAGGATCAACAAAATGAAAAGGCAATCTACAGAATGGGAGAAAATATTTGCAAACTGTATACCTGATAAGGGGTTAATATCCAAACTAAGAAGTTGATACAACTCAATCGCAAATGAAACAAAACAAAACAAATAATCCAATTAAGAAATGGGCAAAGGACACACAAACTGTGATAAATACAAAAGGAGGTTGGTCTGTTCTCAGAGATCTTTCCCTTTTGATGTAAGCACACTGCTTCCAGAAAGTGGCCCCTTGACAAGTGACAGCAACTTAACTGTCTAATTGCAGCTACTCAGTGACTGTGCAAGAATCATACCCACATCCCTTTGATCAAATTTACTGCACTGGCTATGACACATTTTGAACTGGTTTAAATGTACATGGCACAGAATCAGTTATAAGAGAGCCTATCGACTTAGGGAGAAAACTACGTACAGGTGCAAATTTCAGCATTGCCCTCGAGTTTAAGCAAGCAGGCAAATGTGTGTTCCCTCACTATGCTGATAAATGTGTATGTGGTTGCTGCACTGCTCCAAACACCTGTCAGTGTGGACCTGGTTGGGGTGGCACCAACTCCCCAGTGATGAGGAAAGAGCAGCACAGAAAAATGAAATGATATGCCTGAGTTTACATATCTACTAAATGGTGAAGGCAGACACATATCCTCCACAGCCAATAATTTTAGCCTCAAGGGTGTGGTGTCTCCTGAAGCTGGAAAGGAGGTTTAGTCAAAGTGACAAGTGTCAGTGGCAGTGAAGGGAGTGAGAACAGGAGGCAGGGACCAAAAGCACCAGACAAACATTAAAGTAAATGTCTTGAGAGATACTGAGGGCACACTAACATTAGAGATGATGAATTTAAAATGACACCAATTTGGATGCACTTATATTGTTATTTTTAATTTTCTCATTTGTAATATTAAGGATGTTGAGCCAGATTATATTTACGATTCCTTTCAACCCTGTGATTAAACATTTAAGTGCAAAAAAAGAAAAAAAGACAGAGGATCTGTTTTTTAAAGAAGACATACAAATGGCCAACAGGTTCATGAAAAGGTGATCAGGGAATCATTAGGGAAACACAAATTAAAACCACAATGAGATACTACCTCATACCTTATAGGATGGCTATTATGAAAAAGGCAAGAGATAAAAAGTGTTGGTGAGAACATGGAGAAAAGGGGACCCTTGTGCACTTCTGGTGGGAAGAGAAATTGGTACAACCATTTGGGAAAACAGTATGAAGGTTCTTCTAAAAATTAAAAATACAATTACGATATGATCCAGCAATCCCATTTCTGGGTATATATCCAAAGGGAATGGAATCACTATCTCCAAGAGATATCTGCATGCCCATGTTCATTGAAGCATCATTCACAAAAGTCAAGATGTGGAAAAAGCTATCAGTCAGTGGAGGAATGGTTAAAGAAAATGTGATATATACAATGAAATATTAGTCAGTCATAACAAAGAAGGAAATCCTGCCGTTTGTGATCAAGGGGATGGACCTTGAGGGTATTATGCCAAGTGAAATAAGTCAGACAGAGTAAAACAAACACTGTATGATCTCACTTACATGTGGAACCTAAAAAGTTGAACACACATACACAGAAAGGTGAGTTCACAGAAACAGAGGATATAGTGGTTGCCAGGGGCTAGGGGGTGGGGGAAATGGGGAGCTGTTGGCCAAAGGGTACAAAGTTTCAGTTATAAAATGAAAAAGTTCTGGGGATCTAACACACAGTGTGGTAACTATACTAACAATACTGTATTGTAACTTGAAACTTGTTAAGAGAGTAGATCTTAAATGTTCTCACCAGAAAGAAAAAAAAAAAAAGGTGACTTGTAAGGTGACAGATGTGTTAACTAACCTTATTGTGATAATCATTTCATAACATAAACGTGCATCAAATCATCACATTGTACACTCTAAAGTTACACAATGTTATTTTTCAATTACATCTCAATAAACATGGAAAATTTTTAAATAAAATAAATAAAATAGCTAGTATGGATTTTAATTTAGTTTCAACCCTCCTGATAAATGAGATGTTACAATGGACCTGTGAATTAGGCTTCATCACACATGTAGCTAATGTCATGATCTACTAGGTTTTGGTCTATTACATGTTGCACCTTTGGCGAGTGGAGGTGATTGCCGTGACAGGAGCAAGGGAATGTCTCACTGGAGTGTGTCTTTGGCTCCCTTGGCAACCCACTCACTGCCCCATATTCTCCTCCCAGCGAGAGCTGACCTGCAGTGGGGAAAGGAGGAATCAGGAGCCAGTGTGGGACCAAGTCAGTGGGAAAGTGGCTCGCTCTCAGGCAGCCAGTCTGCAAACTCACCCCAGTCACCCAGCCAGTGGAGAATTTCATACAAGTGCTTCTCTTTAGTCTTAGCATCTTCAGAGAAGGAGGCAATTTTCTCCAGCAAGATGAATCTGTTCTTCCCCTTTTGCTCCATCTGGTCAGATTTTACCTTTTCTTTTAAATCATATCCTAATTCTTCCTGGAAGCTGTTGATGACACAGTTGACGTTGTCCAAGATGTCTGAGAGCTGGGAAGAAATATCCTATATGGGAGGCAGCAGATTGTAGTATTTAGGGGTGTGAACTCTAAAGCCAGATACCAGGCTCTGGTAGTGTGATCTCAGACAAGTCAGTTCACCTACTGGGGCCTTAATGTTCTTCCTTGTAAAGTGGGGATGATTATATACCAATGTCACAGAGTTTCTTCTAAAGATTAAGTGAACTAATATTTGTAAAGCACTTAAGACAATGCCTGGCACATAAAATAAATGTTAGCTCTTACTAATGTCACTTTGATGATTAAGACCAGGTCAGGAAGAGAAAGAATACTAAATATCCAGGGGAAACAATTTCTTCAGAATTTCAAAATTTTCTAGGGACTTCTGGACATCTCACAAGGATCCAGAGGCAATACACTGGAAAAATGAGACCCTAAGAAACCTTTAGGATCAGAGGTTCCCACTAAAAAAATGCACTAGAGGCTCATAGGCAGGGTGATTTCAGCCTTTGGCCATTTCCCTGCAAGCTTCTAGGGCTTAGCTTAAAGGATTCTGACAGGTTGCCCCGAACAGACCTCAATCAGGAACTCTGGGCCCCTCCTCCTGCCCTGCTAAGACCTAACACATAGTGGTAGGACCATCCTAGGGCCTGCTTACGGGCTGGTCCCTTCCTGTGCCCAGCCCTGCCTCAGAAGGGTGGTTTGATTACAGCTGGCCCTACAAGAGGTCAAGTCAAGGATATTTTGAATTAATCTGTTTGTAAATCCAGCCTGTTGAGGATATCAGGAACCCTGAGGGCCCAGAGCTGGAATCTTGCCCCAATCTAGGATCAGTTCTCAGTCTCCACATTAGGTCCCAGTAGAAGGGTAACTCCCTCATCTCAGGTGTTACCTCCTGAGCCCGTGTTAGCTGGGCAGCCTCAATCCTTGAGATGATAGCTTTGACCGATGCAGGGGTCACCAACTGTGGGGGCCTATTTTTCTCCATTTTGAGTCACCCTGTCAGTTGCAAAGATGTCCTGTGTCTCTGATACACAGGTCTGGACACGTGATACTAGCTGCTTTGGGGTTAAGGGCTCCAGGGTAGTTCCTGAGTACCCTGCCTAGCCACAGCTCCCTGTAACTGCCAGACATCAGGTTCCAACTGACCTTTTCTCCAGTGACATCATCAGATTAGAAGAATGGCTCCGTGGGAGCTTAGGTGGCTCCGTTGGTTGGGTGTCTGACTTCAACTTAGGGCATGATCTTGCAGTCTGTGAGTTCGAGCCCCACATCAGGCTCTGTGCTGACAGCTCGGAGCCTGGAGCCCACTTCAGATTCTGTGTCTCTCTCTACCCCTCTCATGCTCATGTTCTGTCGCTCTATAATAAATAAATGTTAAAAATATTTATTAAAAAATAATAATAAAAACAAAACCAAAAACAAAGAGGAATGGCTCCTTGTCATCTATCTGCTTGGTTATCTAGCATAACCAAGATGGTTATCTTTTTATCCATTGCTAATATATATTAAGTTGATCTGTTGCTTTTTTTAAGTCATTAAGTGTTCTTCTGCCAAACTAAATATTAATGGCTAAAAATAAGAAAAAGCAATTAGAAAATGTTCTTTGCCCAAAGAGAAGATTTTAAAAATTAGAGCCAATCAATAACTGATGGTGATATGTTTGCATTTGCATCAGGGATCAAGGGTCAATCTGCCCTTTTACTTACTGAAGGTGACCATTATTGCAAGATGGCTTTTAAAAGCAAATGTCTAGGGGGAGGCCACTTATTGGGATGAGCACTGGGTGTTAAACGGAAACCAACTTGACAATAAACTATTTAAGAAAAAAATAAAAAATAAAAAGTAAATAAAAGCAAATGTCTAAAATAGACATTGTTATATATCCAGGACTTAGAACCAAGCCTGGCACACAGTAGGCACTTAATAAACACTTGCTGAATGAATGCATATGTAAGAACAAGTACATATACATGCAAATTATTCTTCCATGCTACTTAAAAGTATTCCCATTTAGAGGCACCTGGGTGGCTCAGTCAGTTGAGCATCTGACTTTGGCTCAGGTCATGATCTCATGGTTCATGACTTCAAGTCCCACATGGAGCTCTCTACTGACTGCTCAGAGCCTGGAGCCTGCTTCGGATTCTATGTCTCCCTCTCTCTCTGCCCCTCCCTTGCTCACACTGTCTCTCTCTCTCTCAAAAACTAAATAAACATTAAAAAACATTTAAGTATTCCCATTTAACAGATAAATTAAATATTGTAGGTCCAGTTCTTAGTAGTGCCATGGCCCCTTAATAACTTGTCACCTGACACCTATCTTTCCTTTACCGTCACTCATTCACATACTCAAAGTTAATTCTTTTATTGCCTCTTTCACTCAACAACACTTTTTGGTAACAGTCTACACGCCAAGCCTGGGCCTAGATGCTAGAAATACAGAAATAAAGGAGATCTAGTTCTGCCTTTGAGGCACTCATATCCTGGTTTACAGATACCTATCTATCTATATATCTGTTACTGGATAGTCCTTTAATCCCTTATGATTTCAGAGCATGTGGTTTACAAATAACTTATTCATCCTTAAGAACATGTATGAGTCAGCTAAGGCTCGGAGGGCTTATGAGATTTACCTAAAGTTAAGAGCTGAGAAGTACAGAGTCAGGACTTTACTCTGGTTTCCTGATTCGATTCCCAACCTGGGGTCCTTTCCTTTTTCCCCCTTTCTCTTTCTTTCTTTTAAACCCAATCAGACTAATAATTAGATTACATATAAATGACCTAAACAAGCCAATTAAAAGACAGAGATTATAAGGTTCAATTAAGAAAACCCAAGACTCAATGATGTGTTATCTATAGGAAACACACTTTAGGGATACCTGGGTGGCTCAGTTGGTTAGGTATTGTACCCTTGATTTCGGCTCAGGTCATGATCTCACCACTCACGGGTTCAGCCTTGCGTTGGGCTCCTTGCTGGCGTGCGGAGGCTGCTTGAGATTCTCTCTCTCTGTTCCTCCCCCACTTGTGTGCCCATTCTCTCTCTCTCAAAATAAATAAACTTAAAAAAAAAGAAACACACTTTAAATAAAAAGACATGCATAGGTTAAAAGTAAAACGACGGAGGGGCGCCTGGGTGGCTTAGTCGGTTAAGCGTCCGACTTTCGCTTAGGTCATGATCTCGCGGTTCGTGGGTTCGAGCCCCGCGTCGGGCTCTGTGCTGACTGCCAGCTCAGAGCCTGGAGCCTGTTTCAGTCTGTGACTCCCTCTCTCTCTGACCCTCCTCTGCTCACACTGTCTCTCTCTCTCTCTCTCCTAGAAATAAATAAAACATTAAAAAAAAAAATTTAAAAGTAAAACGATGGAAAGAGATAAAAGATTATCAAAAAGAAAGTTGGAGTGGCTATATTAACATCAGACTTTAGAATAAGATATATTAGCAGGGCACCTGGGTGGCTCAGTCGGTTAAGTGTCCGACTTCGGCTCAGGTCATGATCTTATGGTTCATGAGTTCCAGCTCCATGCTGGGATCTCTGCTGTCAGCACAAAGCCCGCTTCAGATCTTCTGTCTCCCTCTTTCTCTACTCCTCCCTCACTCTGTTCATTCTTCCTCAAAAATAAACATAAAAAAAGAAATATTAGCAAAGATGAAAAGGGAGGGACATTCCACAATGATAAAGGTGACAATAAAGGGGGATATAACCCTAGATGTATATGCGTCTCATAACAGAGCTTCAAAATAGATGAAGCAAAAAAATAGAAGTGAAATGAGAAATGGATAAATCCACAATTATAGTTAGAGATTTCAACATTTCTCTTGTGGGAACCTGTAGAAGTAGAAAACAATAAATAAAGATAAAGAGGTTTTGAAAAATGCTATCAACCAACTTGACTCAATTGACATTTATAGAACACATCATCCACAACAGCAGGACGTATGTTATTACCAAATGCATATGGAACAATAATCTGGGCCTTAAAACAAGTATCAATAAAGTCACAAAAATTATAATCATACAAAATATATTCTCTGACCACAATGGAATTAAACTATAAATCAGTAATTGAGAAATATCTAAAAAATTCCCAAACGTCTGCAAATTAAACATAAGTAAAAAAGAAATCACAAAGAAAATTATGAAATACTGTAAACTGAGTGAAAATGACAACATGACAAAATTTGGTAAACCAAGATAAAAATTTGTGAGATGTTGCTAAAGCAGTGCTTAGAGGGAGAAACTAGAAAAGGAAGAAGAGAGAAACTCAAAATAAGTGGAAGGAAATAATAAAGATAAGAGTTGAAATCAATAAAATGGAAAACAAAGAAACAAAAATGGAGAAAAATCAATGCAACCAAAACTTGGCTGTTTGAAAATATTAATAAAACAGATAAAACACTAACCAGATTGTACCAGGAAAAAGAAAAGGACACCAATTACCAGTATCAGGAATAAGAGAGGGGACATAACTACATACTCTACGTGGGAATAATGAGTATTATGAAAGAACTTGATGGCAATGAAGTTGGTAAGTTGAATGAAATGGACAAATTCCTTGTAAGATGTAATCTATCAAAGTTCATAAAAGAATAAAAAACCTGAAAAAGCCTATTATCTACCAAAGAAATTGGATTTGTAATTAAAGACCTTTCCCTTACAGAAAAATCCAGCCCTGGATGGCTAATTTTTGCCAAGGGGAAAAAAAATACAATTTTATACAAATGCTTCCAGAAAAGTAAACAGTAGGGAACACATCTCAAATCATTTCTTTATATTTGCTTATTTTTTGAGGAGAGTGAGAGCACGCGTACTCGTTGGGGAGGGACAGAGAGAAAGGGAAACAGAGAAAATCCCAAGCAGGCTCCTTGTTGTCAGTTCAGAGCCCGAGGCAGGGCTCAAACCCACAAACCACGAGATCATGACCTAAGCTGAAATCTTGAGTTGAATGTTTAACCCACTGAGCCACGCAAGAGCCTCTCATATCATTTTTTGAGGTTAGCATTATACTGCTACCAAAACCAGACAAAAATGTTATAAGAAATATATCCAATATACACCACACACACGACATAAGAGAAAATAAAATGGAAGCCATCGACTGGAAAAAAAATTATTTATGAAACATATATTTGTTAAGAGACTTGTATCCAGAATATATTAAAAAAAAACAAACACTACAACTCAATAATTGCAAGAATACGCCAGTTTTTAAAACAGGTAGAAGATTTAAGTAGACCTGTCACTAGCAAAGATGTACATAGTGATACAAATATGAAAAGATCTCAGCATCATTAGTTGTGAGGGAAATGGAAGTTAAAACCACAACAGGATGCAATATCTGAGAAGGATAAGTCAGATAATAAAAAGTATGACAACACCAGGTGTTGAGGAGGATGCTGAGAAAATGAAACCCTTGTATATTGCTGGTGAAAATGGAAAATGGTACGGTCACTTTGGAAAACAGTTTGGCAGTTATTTAAAAAGGTAATTATACATTACCATATAATCCATCAATCCCACTTCTAAGTATTTACCCAAGAGAAATAAAAACATATGTCCACACAAAGACCTATCCACAAATATTCATAAGTCGCTCTATCTGTTAAAGCATAAACCTGCAAACAAATAAATGGCCACCAGTTTGTGAAAGGACAAATTGTAGTCTGTCTACACAATAAAATATATGAGTTCACATTAAAAAGGAATGAATTACTGATAGAGGCAACCACACGGATGATCTCAGAAGCACTGTGTTAAGTGAAAGAAGCCAGACACAAACCACTACAAACTGTGATTCTATTTATATGAAGTTCCAGAAAAGGCAAAACTATAGTGACAAAAAGCAGATCAGGAGAGGCCAGGAGCCAGACAAGGGGGAAGAGATTGACTGCAAAGGGGCACAAAGGAAGTTTCTGAGTGAAGGAAATGTTTTATGTCAGGGTTATGCTGGTGGCTACATGACTGTGTGCATGTGTGAAATTTTACTGGATTGTACACTTAAAATTGGTGAGTTTTATTATATGTAAATTATACCTCATAAAGCTGATTTTTTAAAATGTCATGTTTTATAATGCCCTAGACTGTGGATGGTCTGTAGGCAGACAGTACAAGGGACTG